TGAACTTTATCTCTCCTTGCCCCTCTTCCTAAGTCTTATCATTGAGGAATGAGGGAATTTGTAGGCCTCCCACACGTAGGCAGCTGAGGGGTTTATGGGTCTCCCACTTGCTACCCCCCACCCTACCCCACCAAATTCATTCTCCACGCAAAGCCAGAGAGATCCACTTAAGCATAAATCCAATTATATTTCTTCCTGCTTTGGCCCTTTTGGTCATTTCCTGCTGCACTTAGAATAAAATCCATACTCCTGACCGTGGCCTCTGTATTAGTTTTCTGTGACTGCCATAATAAACTACCACAACTTGGTGTCTTAAAGCCACAGAAGTTTATCTTCTCACAGCTCTTGAAACCAGAGTCTGAAATCAAGGTGTTGGCAGGATTGATTCCTTCACAAAACTCTGGAGGAGAATCCGTTCCATGCCTCTGCCCTGGCTTCTGGTGGCTTTGGCATTCTTTGCCTTGTATACTTACCACTCCAACCTCTGCCTCCATCTTCACATGGTCCTCTTCTCTATGTGTCTTCTCACTCTCTCTTCTCTTCTAAGGACACTTATTATTGAATTTAAAGACCACCCTAATTCAGGATGGTCTCATCTCATAATTAAGAGATCCTTTATTATATCTAGCAAGACATTTTTTCCAATTAAGATCACATTCGTAGGTTCTGGGTGGGCTTATCTCTGGGAGCGTAGGGAAGGACCACCCTTCAACCCACTACAGCCTTGAAGCCTCCTTTGTCTTCCTAGACACAGTGCTCCAACCTCCAAGCCTTCCGCAGGGCTCCTTTCTCTCCCCAACTTGTCTTTTCCCCTCTTAGGGTCTCAAGGTAAATGTCTTCTCCTCAGACAGGCCTCCTGCCCTGACCAGCTTGCATGAGGTGAGTGCCTGCTTTACACTCTCTCTCAGCACCCTTTGTTAATGTTGCACATATTCTAACGATTTGTAATTACGTATTTGCTCACTTGTTTTTACTTTGTCCTCCTCACTGGCCTTGGAGGTTTGGGCAGCATTCTCCCTTCCATGCCTGCAGCAGAGCAGCCCTCCATAACACGTGCTGCCTGCCTTACTGCCTGGATGCATGCTTGCTGAGAAAAAGCATTTTTGTGCTCTTCCAATGCCCCCAAACTCACATGTAATATTGTTTTTTCCCCTGAAACACAAAGGTTATTGTAAATTATTATGCCAAGAAGGTTGATCACCAGGTAGGCCCTTTCCTCTGTACCATCTCACCTCCCTGAGGCCCAAATGCTGTGAACGGTCAGAGGATGGGCTCCAGGTCCCCTGCACGTAAGGGCCTTCTTCCCCTGTGCCCACCTTGCCCCAGAGAGGCTGTAGCTCACAGCTAGAGGTGCTCGGCACCCTCTCAAGAACAAGCTCTAAAACATACCCCGGCCTTGTTTATCCCAAGTGAGAGAAACAATATGTTTTTGCTCCTATAATATTTACGCCTTGATAGTCTGCCCAAGCTTTCGCAATAAGAGTGGAGCTCTATTTCCTGTTCTGAACAGAAGCGACAGACTCTTTTTCCCCTGTAGTTTTCTACAAGGTTCCCCACCTTCCTGGAGCCACCCCACGTGAATGGGAAGAGAAGGGCTGGCCTTGGGTGGGTGGTTTAGCGGCGTCCCGGGAGCTTCCCGGGGAGATGCAGGATGCAGACAGTGTTTTATGAAGTCCAGGCAGTGGCTGTCAGCCTGCTTTTGCAGAATGGCCTGATGTGGTGATTCTTACAAAGCACAGCTGATCGAGACCCCAGAGCCAAGCTCTGACCAAAACAATGTCTTCTCCCCGGCTCACTCCTTAAATCACAAGGCTCGCTGCCTTGAGATTTCCTGAGGATGTCCAAATCTCACTGCTATGTACATTCTTGGACTTGGAAAGCTCCCACCGCCCTCTCCCCACCCCCTTCATTTTATATTCCTGGCCCCTTTCCCGTCTTCTGCAGCTGGTTTATTCACTGTCCAAAAATACTGGCAAGAGAGTCACCTCCCTTTTTTTTTTCTAGTCTTGGTTCTTTACAGCTATTGGAATTTTTATTTCTTGCCAGCTGACATTGAGGCCTTAGGGACCATCCATGTTTGGTTTTTGGGGGTTTTTTTGTGGTTTTCTGCTGAGGAAGATTAGCCCTGAGCTAACATTTGTTGCCAATCTTCCTCTTTTTTTGCTTGAAGAAGATTAGCCCTGAGCTAACATCTGTGCCAGTCTTCCTCTATTTTGTATGTGGGTCACCACCACAGCCTGGCTGATGAGTGGTGTAGGTCTGCACCCAGGATCCGAACCTGTGAAAGTGCTGAAGCAGAGTGCTTTGAACTTAACCATTAGGCCACAGGGCCAGCCCCCGACCATCTGTATTTTTAATCCAGTTTCCCAGGCTCATCCTTTCCTGCCAGCATTTGTGTCACTGTCAGTGGGAGTTTCCACCAAAATACTACAAGGCAGAAAGTTGACCTCTAATTCAAATTGTGGTACCCCATCAGGAGGCTTGTGTCTGGGAGAGGACTGGGAGTAGGGTGGGGAGAAAAGGCTCAGATGTTCTTGTGTAATGAGCCAGCTCTGTCAGAGCATGAGAAGGATGGGAAGGCAAGGGGAGCATAGAACCAGGATAGCATCTGGCTCACCACACACAGTTGCCCCGTGAGCGTCGGAAAGG